GAGGGACAAGAAGGAATCGAGGGAGGCGATGAAGATGAGATGGATGGAATGCCTTTTGGCACTCAAAACAATCAATATATGACTAATTTACGTGACCAGATTGCGAATCAATTAATGTTAAATCCGTCAAATTAAGAATTGTTAAAAACTATTATGTTGGAATTTGACATGTTATGTTATTGTTTATTCATGAATTTGAAAAATTATGTTTGGTTGGATTAATGTTACGTTTGTTTGGATTAATATGAAATATGTAGTTATTTTTGTAAAATTATTGTTTCATTCAGATATCAGCCAAACAGCTTTATTTCATTCAGTACCAAATCATTCAGAGGGTTAAAATGGTAATTTTACTGTCATTCAGAGAACAGTTACCAAACAACATTATTTCATTCAGCACTTAACCATTCTGACCCTCTTAACCATTCTGACCTCTTAACTATTCTGCATAAATCATTCAGCAACTGCCAAACAGCCCCTTACCAAATCTTGTATCATCGTTCGTTGACACTTTCGTTGACTTCTCCGTCACCGGAATCTTTTTACCGAACCCACCATCTCCTCCTTTTTCTAAAACCTCCTACCCTTCCCATGATCGTTTGATAGCCGTCGGCGATCTCCATGGCGACCTCCTTAAATCCAAACAAGCCCTTCGTCTCGCTGGCCTCATCGACTCACAAGACCGGTGGTCCGGTGGCTCCTCCACCCTGGTACAAGTAGGCGACGTCCTTGACCGTGGTGGGCAAGAACTCAAAATCCTTTACTTCCTCGAGAAACTGAAACGACAGGCGGTTAAGGTCGGCGGTAATGTCATCACTATGAACGGCAATCACGAAATCATGAATATTGATCGCAATTTCTTCTGCGTTCATCCATCTGGGCTCGATGAATTTCAAAATTGGGCTGGTTGGTTTAGTACAGGCAACAACATGAAGCAATTATGTGATGGATTACAGAAACCTAAAGATTTATACGATGGGATTCCTTCCACTTTTCCTGGAATCAAACAACAATATATGAATGGATTCAGAGCTAGAATTGCTGCATTAAGACCTCAGGGTCCTATAGCAACTAGATTCTTATCCAAGAACTTGACTGTGCTTGTTGTTGGCGAATCGGTGTTCGTTCATGGAGGGATTTTACCTGAACATGTTGATTATGGATTGGAACGGATTAACGAAGACGTAAGGGATTGGATTACTGGATCGAGAGAAACTGTATCTTCGGATTTAGTCAGGACCAGAAACTCTCTTCTTTGGCTTAGAAAATTTTCTAATGAAACGGCCGAGGATTGTGACTGCAGTTTGCTGGAACATGCACTTTCGACGATTCCAGGTGCACGGAGGATGATCATGGGTCATACGATTCAAAGGGGTGGTATAAATGGGGCGTGCAATAACCGAGCCATAAGGATTGATGTGGGTATGTCGCAGGGGTGCATTAACGGTTTGCCGGAGGTTCTAGAGATTAGTGAGGATTCTGGTTTGCGAATCTTGACGTCAAACCCATCGGATCATCAGAACCGGCATGATTTGCTGATTCCTGAGCAACATGGACCTCGAGAAGTGGAAGTGCAGGCTTAATTCTGTTTGTGAACCCAAGAAAACTAGAAAGATTGTAATCATAGCTAATAAAGTTTGGATCTTGATTGAATTAAATTTTGTTGTTTGTTATCTGATGGTCTGAGTCTGTTTAAATTAGGATCAATCTCAGATAGCTTTTCCACCATCATATAGTTTTCCTTCCATGGGCGATAAATGTAGCACCTTCTCCAACTTCAGGCGTGCGTTTGGTGGGACTAAAAAAATGCATTTTTGTTCCGTTCACATCCTATTATTTGCCGATTTTGATACAAAACTCGTTCACCCAATCATGGTATATAATTTTGTATCGTGGAGTGAGGCAGTCAATTATAACATGCGCTTTATCCCAATGGGTAATACGGTTAACTTTGCATCATGAATAGAATTGAGATTCGCTCATAATGGTACGTACCAGGACCGGTATAATGAAGACAGAAATATAACATGGTCGACAAGATACCATGATGGTGGAAGAGCCCCGTATAACCCAAATCTTTGTGGACCATAATTCAACTTCTTTTTGGTGGGTCTGAAAGCAATTCAAGTTGCAAGCAAACAAATATTGCAATTTTACAAGCCAAAGGCATCCACTGAATGAAAACTTTAAGATTCAGAAGCAAATCTGATTAAGAGCTATTGCACCTTAGAATTCCTCTTCTTCTGCCAAAACCATTCTACTTAAAGGGCTTGGACCAAGCCTTCTCCTTCTTTTGGCATGTCTCTTCCTTATCACTTCCATTTCGTTTCGCCTCCTAACTTGCATCATCGCTTCCTCTTCGACCACAAATCTCCTCATCAAAACGTCATCCGTCAAAGATTTCCCCCTAAATATCCTCCTTCCCTCCATGCTCATTCTCGCAGTCGGCCGTTCTTGAATACAGCTTGGAAACGGTTTTGATCTCGGGTACGTGTTACTTCTTCTCGGGGGCACGTCGGCTTGGAAAACCTCTGTGTAGGAAGATATCGGCACGCATAGGCAAACACGGGTAAATGAAGTGGCAACTTTCAAAGAAGTTGATTTCCGAAGTTTTTGTCTATTGGGGGTGGTGTTTCTTGTAGCAGAAACCTTGGTGGACGTGGAAAGAGTCTTCCTTAAGGTCGGGTTAGGCGGTGGAGTAGAAGTCGGATAGGTGATTTTCCAGAGACTGGCGATCTCCATTGCTCTTTGATACCAAGGCTTCCTGTTGCATAATTCATACGTGAATGAAAGCAACAGAAGGTTTCAGTAACATGAATAAGAAGGAAATTACAGTTTGATCAGAGACTAATGTGTGACTGCTTACAGTGTAGATTTGGAATAACAAAAGGATTGTGGCAAAAGATGTCACCAAAGCACAATTCTATAGAAAAAAGTAATATAAGCCCTATGGGGCCAGGTGCTGGAGAAAAGCATTTTGTTGACCACACCCTTTGATCCATATACTCAAATTTTGAATCCTGCTAAATATGCCAATAAATATGGTACCGTTAAATATTTTGAGAACCGGGGAGCTAATTGTTTCATTTATTACTCATAATATTTAACCCTCATAATGAAAATTATTCATGATGAATAACCCTGATAATGAAAATTATTCGTGATGAATGTCATGATAAATATTCATCAGAAGAACTATTCATGATGAAAAGACATGATATTCATGATAAAAATGCATGATATCATTGATAAAAATGCATTCTACCAAGATGATGAATATTCATGATAAATAGTATTCAGGGTCATTCATCATGAATAACTTAGAAATAATTAGTTCCCCAGTTCTCAAATTATTTACGGTTCTCATTTGAACACGCTCCTAATTTTCTTAATTAAAAGAAGAGATAGAAGTGATGTTGATTCTAGTGAACCTTATAAACATTGTAATATGAAAATTTTCATATACCACAGGATGATCTTAATCTTTAACTAATTTCTCGGGTCTCCAGTCTCCACCATGGAAGAGCAGAAAACATGCAGAAACTAGATCAAATTTAACCTCCCTTTATGGTCCTAAGTTAACATCTCTACTGGAATTAAACTTTTTTTCTCTTTCCAGAAAAGAAATTAGACAGAAGATGAGGAAGAACAAAACATACCTAATTGTTGCAGAGTTAGTCTTGGGATCCTGCATGAACAGAGAAGCAATGATGTGCATGAAAGTGATGGATAAGGAGGATGAGGAAGAGAAGGAGAGTAGGATATGAAGGAGTTCATCTACATTACAAATGATGAAGCTTTTTGGTTTCTGATATGATGAGGGATATGGGTTGTCAAATGGACCTCTTTTCTTTATTGATATTTCATACCCCCCACCCCCACCCCTTTTGCTTTCCCAGTGGCAGGCATGATTCCTACTGTGTGTGAGAGTTTTCAAAATTCAAAGGCAAAGTTGGGATTTCTTGCTTTTTAGCAAAATTACCAAAACCCCCCAACTAGCTTCTTTTTCTCCTTTTCTTGAATACCCTATTCTATACATTTTAGATCTGACTATTGATAGTTTCCAGTGTGATAAATGCCTCCAAATCACTTTCAGATCACACAAACACATACACACCATGTAATAATCTTCAGCTCCTACTTTTTTGTCTAATGATGCCTCTTGCCTGTCACTTTAATGAACATAACATAATGGTGGATCAAATTGTAGATCATGCATGCATTAACAAGAAGGATCTAATTATATCACCTTTCCCTTTTTTCTGATTATACTTTCTTTAATCAGCAAAGAAGATGACAGTTCTAGCCCATAAAACTCTTGATTTACCAGAACCAAATAAACATTTCTTGAAAAGGCACCATGATTCCTTTTCCTGCTAATGTCATTGTGCCCATCTTCTTATTATAATTAAAGATTTTCTATTAGGAGGGGAACATGATGATTGGACCTGTCTGCTACATAATGCTTCTGATCAGGGCTGGTTCCTATCACTTCTTCCATTGCTAATAGTTTAAGATTTATGTACACAAAAGTTACAGTAAAGTTTAAGCCTCCTTCATTAGAAGATAGATAGATCTAGGGTATTTTTATTCACCAAAAGAGATTATTTGGTTGCTTCTAGAATAGCCAAACGACCAATATAAAATAATCAAATAGAAGTGTATCTGTGTGTAATATTTGAGGCAGTATGCAAGCAGGGATCCACAACCCCTTCTAAATTAAAAAAAAATCAACATCAATAATTGTACATTTGTACCCAATGCAGGTCCTCAAATGCACTCACTAGCTACTACCTTTAAATCTTAAAGGCCACCAGATAACCATAAGAGTTAAGGCCCCCTTCTGAAAAGAATTCTGTACACTTGGACAGAACCGGGCCACATTGATGGTGATTAACAAGAATTTAAGTCTGTAGATGAAAGGTGTGACAAACAAACAAAAAGGGGGTTGTTGATATCATTTCCAACATGGAAATCATGTTGTCATTCAAAACCATGTAAAAGGGGCTGTGAATGAACAGGGAGGAAGGTAATACCTTATAATGTTGACAAATGAATAACAGTCTCAGCTGCATTTTCCAATTAGCACCCCAGATAGTGATGCACAAATACATGGCACCCATACCAGTAAAACAGATAGGTTGCTTCACTGATGTAGCCTGCAGATAGTGCCAAAACCGAACCCACTGTGCATAACAATTACAATATTCTGTTAACAATGACATCTATAAACACTCTTCTGTAAAATTGTTCATAGAGATCCCTTCTTGAAGCACTATTCTAACTAAAATCTGATGCAATTGTCCTCCAGATTTAATAGAGATGCAGAAAGCACGCATGATCCAGGATCAGTCATAAGTCAAGTCCAAGTCTGGGCCTAAAAAGTCGAGCTCGACAAGGATGTCTGTTTTTCATCCTATAAAGTTTATGCCCGACCAGTTAACACTTAACATCCATAGGCCATAGCCTGGTTACTAACTGAGTCAAGGGTTGGTTGTAATTCCGATAGCCCGAAGCAACAAGTTGGCCCAATAACCTCCTAATCAACCGAAAACCATGGTGGAAGTTATTGGTAACCCACAACTTTGAGCTTATAAAGAACTCATAAATCTAATTTTTCATCCATGCAGGATGGGTTGTTACATTGGTTAAGCCCAAAGCCTGGATAAGGACCAATCCCAAGCCCCATTAGAATAAAGACCAGACCAATTACGCTTTCAAAATTAGGACCAATTTCAAAACGTCAAGCGTGGTAAGCCATTTACAAAAGCACCTTCCTCACACCGAAGAGTGAGCCGGTGGTAGCAAGTTATAATTTCATCACATACAACCAATCCAAAAGCCACACAACAAGATAGTCCCCAGAACAGGAGGCATTTATAAAGATAATTAAATCTGGTTTCTTTGTATACAGAACATGCATGCCAAATTGCCAAGAATCAACTGCATATCTTGGTCGTCCCTTAGGAGAAACGGAATTCCATCGCATGTTTAATACATGTAAAAAGAAATGAACCAACATATCTTCTAAACACTAGGAAAAAAAGTTCACCAAAGCCATTCTTCTTGTTCTTCAGATCTGCAAATCTGTGGTCCATGTTCCTTGGACGCTGGGGTGTTTGGTGACATGTCTAGTCTTCAGCTTCACCACCTTTCTTCCCAATGAATTCCTAAGCCTGGTTGCACAAAGCAGTACGTCTTCTGGAGTCATGTTCATAACAGATACAACACGCTCATTCTTGTTCTCTGCACATTTTCACAAATGCAAGACATTTCCAGCAATAAGCAAAAAAATCAATGATATCCAATTTAAATAAATAACCAAAACCAACAGACAAGACAGAGTACTTCATAGAAAAAAGGCCACTAAGAGAATGTTTTTTACACAAACAATGAAAAGTGGGAGAAGACATGTTGCATTACAACACAGTACTTCCACAACAAAACAATTGAAGAATTCATAACACATGGGTTGCATCTGACACAGCTGTTCCATTTTGTGTGTGCAAAATTCATGTAGAAAAGTTATTTTTGCCTTGTGAACCAACCTTTTCAAAAACAGGAGTATTGGAGAGCATGTTTATATACTATGGTTCCATAATATATAACCATAAAGGCCATCTATTAGAAGCAAGAACCATGAGTCTCAGTTTATGCAGGTCGTTAGATCAGCTTTTATTCCGAAAACTAGAATTGAAATGACCTAATTCTGCTCCTAGTGTGGATTTGTTTGATAGTTGTTCCTTTTTACAATCTTTTCCCTAGAAGGGATCACAATCAGACAGAACATACTACTAGATTTTCGGACTTCAGTTTGGCAGTAATGCTATGCCCCTTGGGCTGTCTATGAACAAAGTTAAAAACAACTCATGTCCTCCTTGGTTGCAAGATACTGGGATGGAATGTGGGTGGGGGGGAGAGTCATACTGTATGATCCCTTCAAAAACGGATGTTGACCACGATTAAGCTCAGCAACCACCTCCAGCTGAGGATTACTTTCTTTAAATGTTTGCAAATGAGATTCCATAAATGCCCTACACATTGAGAGGCAGCTGTTAGTTGTGTAAACCCATTTCACTTTGATGACTTGACACCAAACATAATTGTTTTGCCACATCTATAAATAAGATTCGGTCCATAAACTGGGCACAACCGCACAACCATACCAAACTGAGAATTTCTTAAGGAAAAAGAGCAAAAGCAAAGTGGGATTTCACCAAGTAATGAACAAACACCCAGATTAATGTAGAGCGTTAAATGTATAGTTTCAACTAGATATAAATTGATAAACTAGTCGAGTAACCGGGGGTTATGAATGTTAATAACTTCAATTGAGACTAGCACTTCTTGCTAATATTCCCTCTGGGAGTTGCCTTGGTCATATGTTAAAGAATTATTTGATATTCATCCAAAATGAGGATTAGCACTTCTAAATAGCGAGTTAAAAAAAAGGTAAGTATGATTTCAAGATCAAGCAAGTGTTATGATGTGCTATCGGGAGCATCCTGTGAAAAACAGGCGTAAAATGGATACCAGTTGATAAGATAGGTAGCTCTTCTTAACCCTACAATTACATAGATTTCATAAATTCGTAAGATCAGATGTTACCGCAAACCTTGGTGAAAAACATGCATCATGGACAACACTTGGCTAGATAAGTAGCTCTTACTAAACCCTCTAATTACATACATATTCCATGAAATTTGTGACATTGAAGAGTACCATCTTCAACAAAAGCATGGCGTGTACAAATACACTAATTCAACAATCATGAAATAAAATTAGAATGCAAAAATAACCATGAAACAATATTTAAGAAAAGAAAAAAGTAAATAAATATCATACCTAATTCCCTTGCTACTTCCACCCCAGTTACAGTAGCTCACTGTTAGCTTCCGAAGCTGCCAAACACCTCGTTGTGACATCTGCTCAAAATCAAGAGTCAGACTGCTGAACAACGTCTAAAGCATAGCAAACGTTGCATACAAAAACAAAAAAGCAACAGAATAGTTGCAAAACACAAACCCTAAAAACCTAAAACCTAAAATTGCAGAGAAATTAATTTCGATATGGAGTAGAATATAGAAAAGAATATTATTACCTAGTTGAAGTATTAGAAGAACCGAAAACTCGAAGGTGATCTTGGAGAAATGAGCTGCAGAGGCAAACGAACAAACAGCCGAGATTTGGTTTAGGTCTGAGTAAAATAAATCGCATTTTTTTAATCATTGTCATATATATATATATATATATATATATATATATATATATATATATATATATATATATATATA